CAACCAAGGTACATGCCCTTGACCGGAATCGAACCCAGGACCCTTGAGTCCGAAGGCCAATGCTCTATCCACTGAGCCAAACCGGTTAGGGCTCAAAGTGATTTTAAACTATTGTGATTCGCCCCCAAAAAATCATAAAGGACTCTTTCCTGGATTTTAAAATTATCTATAATAATGAAAGCGTAATATGCTAATTAGACTGGACGTCATTCCGGACAACCTTCGGGACAAAGCCGGGGCTCCGAGGGAAGCTTGGGTCCCAGGTGCCAGAGGGAAGCCGGTGCCAGCAGCTGGGGGAAGGAAGGCCTGCTTTGCACGAATTTCGTGCATCAGGCCTTTAGTATTTTAAGATAAGGGAAAATGGTGACAGGTAGTTTCTGACTATCTCTAAAGCATCGTTTTTTCCATAAATACTTCAGCTGGACGAGGAATACTGTGGCATTGACTTTTCTCTGGTGGTTTTTGGGGGAATTACAGTCATGCTCACAGATCTAGGCACGTGTAGGTAGCAAGAGCAGACTTGGCCGTGTGAACAGCGAAACGTAAGCCGGAAGTTCAAAGTGACAGCGTTCAGATGGCACCACCATCTGCAGCCTGCGTCCCGGGCCACAGAGGAGGCCCCGCTCTGCCCTCTCACTGAAACCAGGGGCCGTGTGCGCAGGAAGGAAACGCCTGCCGGTCCGAGGTCAGAGGCAGGATGGATGCGGGGGAGGAAGGATTTACTGCGGGGTTTTCCCGAGCCCCTGACCTCCTGGGAGATGCTGTTCCTGGTAGGCTTGGTGGACACCCGGGCACACCCGGGTCTGTCGCATCGCGGTGCCGTGGCCAGGTGTAGCCCTCTCCGTGTGCCGGCCGGAGAGGCACGGCCATGAACTTGGACCCAGAGCCCGGCCTAGGAACCAGGAGGTCCCAGTTCGATACCCAGTCAGGGCACGTGCCCAGGTTGCAGCTCGATCCCCAGTGTGGGGCGTGCAGGAGGCAGCCGACCCATGATTTTCTCTTGGATGTTTCTCTCTCTCCCTCTCCCTTCCTCTCTGAAATCAATAAAAATAATATATTTTTAAATAAATAAATAAGTAAACTCGGATCCTGACCACATCCAGAGCCTGGAGGCACAGGGACTGCCTGTAGCTCCTTGGAAACGTGAATCTGGCCAGGTCTCCTGCCCACGAAAGGCCTGGAAGTGGGAAGGCCTGTGCCCTGTGACCTGAACTGAGCAGCTAAAGGAGCTAACGAGGTTCAGTGTGAGGCAGAGAAAGGCTTCAGCGTAATGCAAAAGGTTTCCTTTGTTTTTAAAAAAAATACATATTTTTTATTTCAGAGAAGGAAAGGAGAGGGAAGGAGAGAGAAACATCAATGATGAGAATCATGGACCGGCTGCCTCCTGCACCCACCCACTGGGGATCGAGCCCGCAACCCCGGCCTGTGCCCTGACCGGGAATCGAACCATGACCTCCTGGTTCCTAGGTCAATGCTCAACCATTGAGCCACGCCAACTGGGCCATAATGTAAGGTTTTCTTACAGTTGGAGCTGCCCCCACATGTAGTGAGATGGTGAATTCTGGGTGCATGCAGGCGGGGGTGCTGGAGGGGGTGCCACACTGTGCGGTCAGACCGGGACACCTCTGACCCGCCCGCCGCCTTCCAAGCTCATGTGCCCGCAGCCTCCGCCTGTGCCCCAGCTGGAGGCTCATGGGTGGCACCCACGCCTCTCTCCTTTACGCCCACTAGTCAGCTGAGCCCGAGACGGGGGAGTGGGTGCTGGTTACACGCCTGTGCCCCTTTCCCCGAAGCAGGTGGCCTCCCCTCCACACCTGCCTTCATCTTTATCTGAAGCCAAAAGCACAGAAAATTGGCTTCATTTGTTCTACAATGGTGTCTGCTCTGCTCTGGATGTGAGGTTCAGGACACCCCTCCATCTTTCTTTGGGGGCCCCTCTCTGCTCCCATCCCCTCAGAGACAGACAGACACGCCCTTTAGCGCAGCGGTCTCCAACCTTTCGGACCTCAGAGACCACACCTGGCCCGCGGACCACCGGTGGCTGGCCGACCGCTGCCTTCGAGTCTGAGGCAGCCACAGCCAGGAGCCGTATGCAGGTCGATTTGCCAAAGAGATGATTTCATTAGAGACTCCTCTTCCTCAAATTAATATGTTTTAAAAACGACAAGTGATCATTAGAAATAATTTGTATTTTCAGACCTACGTATCTGGACACGATCATTTCTGCGGTCAGGGTAGGCGTGTGTTGGCACGATTTGATGTGACAGGTTTTGTTCATTTAGAAAATGAAACCCAGCAGAATTTCTGTATCTTTAAAAAATAGATTTTTATTGATTCCAGAGAGGAAGGGAGAGAGAGAGGGGAACATCAATGATGAGAGGGAATGATTAATTGGCTGCCTCCTGCACACCCCCTCCTGGGGATTGGGTCTGCAACCCGGGCCTGTGCCCTTGACCAGAATCGAACCCGGGACCCTGTAGTCCGCAGGCCGACGCTCTATCCACTGAGCCACACCAGCCAGGGTGAATTTCTGGGTCTTTTACTACAATTACACTGTACCCAGGGGTCCAGAGCCTCGGCCTAGTCTGCCTCGTTCCTGGAAGCATTTTCTTAGTGTGCTTCCTGTCACGCGTGTACTGGGTTGATGCTCATTTCTCTCGTGTAAATTTGGAATTTATCCCCTTTTACTGACCCACGGATCTCTCCTCCCTGCAGGAATCGGGGGCCTTCAGGACTTCGTGCTGAAATCCGCAACCCTGTGCAGCGTGCCCTCCTGCCCGCCCTTCATCCCACTCGGCTTTGAGGCCACCCCGATCGTGAGGGTGGCTATCGAGCCAAAGCACCCAAGTAAGACGACCTCGTTCTTAAAAGCATGGAGCATTCCTGCTGCTGTTTATCTATTTACTTATTTATTTACTAGAGGCCCGGTGCATGAAATTCATGCACTGGGGGTGGGGGTGGGGGGGGTCCCCTCATCCCAGCCTGCACCCTCTACAATCCGGGACCCCTTGGGGGATGTGCAACTGCCAGTTTAGGCCCAGGGATCGGACCTAAACCGGCAGTCGGACATCCCTCTCCCCCTTTGGGGGATGTGTGACTGCCGGTTTAGGCCCAGGGATCGGACCTAAACCGACAGTCAGACATCCCTCTCACAATCCTGGAGCGCTGGCTCCTAATCACTCACCTGCCTGCCTGCCTGGTCACCCCTAACTGTGCTGGCCTGATCACCCCTCACTGTCCCCCCGCCGGCCTGGTTGCCCCCAACTGCCACCCCCCGTCAGCCTGGTCACCCCTTATTGCCCCCCCCT